AAAAATAGTTCTTATTATTAACAAATATTTTAATATTAACTTGTAATATTAATATTTTGTTAAATCTGTTTCTTCTTGAAGTTGTGAAAGTACTGTTGTTTATTTTCTTTAATTTTTTTTTTCATATTTCATTCTTCCATCCACCTACAATTATTATTGGTTAGTACTACAAAAAGTTGAAAGATACTGTCTTTGTGTTAGATAATAAATTTTTTGGAATCATTTACTGAGAATGATGCATGTTGCATCTGTCCCAAATCATTGTCGAGCTGTTTTCTTCCATTGGCCTATTTTTTCATTTCTAATATTCTATTGAGTGTTTTCTTTTTTTCTCAAGCTGCTCTGTGTAAATTACATGGTAACAGACATGACAGATAATTTCCCATCTTCACCCTGTAAATGTGGGTAGATACCGATCAGCAGGATTAGCATAGTTTTTCAAATAAACTTTCCAGAGTGAATCATGTTAGGTAGTAATAAACAGATACCATCTTACATTCTTGTGCTCCACTTATAATTTGTATTTTGAAAAGTATATGCAGACAGGGTTGAAACTTAGGAATCATGACAGCCAAAAGCACCTGATCAAGTATGTTGAGAGAGAAGTAAAAGAAAATTCTGTAATTATCCATATCACAGTTTAGCAAGTTGACTTGTAATATACAGATTTTTGTATATTTTCACTGAATGTGATTTGAAGTTTTTCAAAACAAGTGTGCTCATATGTAAATAGCATTGAAGTTTGAAACAAGATTGCTTGATTACTCCTTCCACTTGCCGATGTACTGTTGCCAGTTTATACTAATCATTACAAAAAAGAGAAACAGTCTGTGGGGAAGGAGATTACTTTATCATTTATGTTACTTAGATGTAGCAGAAAGCTTTGTTTAACTGTACCTGATGATAGCTAGCATCATTCTATACTGAATTTTATTATCTTGCTTTTTTCCTTGTTGTTTTACTACACATATTCCTGAGAGACTTCTTTAGTTTTGTATTGTTTTAAATTTTATACATATGGTATCCTACTGCAAGCATATTTCTTTTCTTTCTTTCTTTTTTTTTTTTTTGTTTGTCTTTTTCGTTTTTATTGGTACCGGGGATCGAACTCACGACTGCCTGCTTGCAAGGCAGGTGCTTATGCCACTGAGCTAAATCCCCAGCCCCCTGCAAGCATATTTCAAGTTGAATCCAAGTTCAATTTGTGGATTACTTTATCACAAATGTGTGTAGATTTATTTTAGATTATTATCAAGTTCACATATTTAATGTATTTTTATATGAGGATGATATGTACCACAAATATCTTTTTGTGGACTGCCAAAATTAAAATAATTGACTCAAACACTTAAGCATCTATAAGAAATTTTTCATTATTTAAAATGGATAATATCACATAGACATTTTTGATGTGACTTAAAATTATATTATTTATTTACATGACATACTTCGATATGAAGATGCGTTATAATTCACCATATGGATCGTTTTTCAGACTATTTTAAAATTCAATCATGCCTTTTTGTACTATTTTATGAAATCAGAATTGCACTAAGAAGCAAAAGCTTTTAAGATGTGATCTAGCTTTCATGAACATCCAGTGTTATTGAGAGAAATTAGATTCATGTAACATGGAGTGTGTGATTGTCAGCTTTCCACTGTGATGTCAAAATACCAAAATACCAGATATAAACAACCTAACAGAGGATCAGTTTGTTTTGGCTCATGATCTCACAGGTTTTCAACCTGTGTTTGCCTGGCCCATCTGCTTTGGATCTGTGGTAAGGGAGAGTGTCCTGGTGGAGAACACATGACAGAGAAAACTGCTCACCTAGAGGTGCTGGCAAGCAAAGAATAGGAAAAGAAGGCAGAGAATCCATAACCCTTTTAAGATATGCTGCCAGTGAAATGACCTAACTTCCTGCAGTGGAGCCACCTCTCCATAACACCAAAACCTGGTAACTAAGCCGTGAGTTATGGCCCCTGGGGATCTTAAGAACCAAACTATAACAATTTAGCCATGGTCAGAGCAGGTGAAGTCACTCTGAGCTAGCCACAACTTGCTGGCAAGAGTTGATCTAAATACGGTAACCCGTTCCTATATACGTGAGCTTGTTGCTGATGGACTGTACTAAGCAAATCTGTGACCCATAACAGCATATCTGACTAAAAATGCTTTGCTCACTAAATTTAAGTATGCTTGCTTAAGAACCTCAATATCTAGGAAACTCTAACTTGGAAAGGGCATAGATAATGCATCTTTACATTTCTAAAGAATAGTTCTGATTTACAAAAATTATCCATGAAATTGTAAGTTACTTGTTTACCATATGCTTAAGATACTTTTGAGAACATTGTATGTTCAGTGTGTATCTTTACGTTTATTTGGTCAAATGCTGATGTTTGTAGTCTTATGAATGTAGCATTGAAAAGTGCTCTCTTCACTAAAGTACTTTGAGAGAGATATATGGAAAGATGCTTGCTTAGCTTCATCAAATCTAAACAATATGGCCATCCATAAGCCTGCCATTTTAACCTACATATAAATAGACTAAATTCAATAATTTTAAAAAGATAAAGCACTTTTTAAAAGAGAAATTATTCTTTGCTTCCTTTTTCATCAGCACTAGCATATAAAGAGATTTGTGCAGAAACATAAAATAGTAGATCCCTATTTTTTCACTCATAAAACACAGACTTTCTAACTCCTCCGATCCTGGTTGCAGCTCTTTGGTTGCCTTGCTCCTGAGTTATTTCTCACTAAATTTCTGCTGCTGGTTGGAGTTAAATATCCTGAACACCAAACCATTTATCTTCCCTCTGTGCTGTACTTTCCAGCAGCAGTGGTGTCTATCATTTTATTAAACTTCCCAGTAAGCAATCAAGGAGTTACTTCTGATTCTCTGCAGTTCTCAACTTTTTTTAAACACTTAACTTAAAATCATATTTCTTTTCCTTTTGTTTACAGTACCTAAACCCACTCATATCTGTGTTTCAGTGGTTAGTTTCTTTGTACCAGTTCTTATGCTGTTGTTGAATTTAGAGCAAAACAAACATCCAACCCCAATTTTAACCTGTTTTGTAGATAAGATCATTCGCATTAAATTAATTATCCAACCTCTTTGGTACTTCATGAAATAAAACTTTATACAGTGAAAACCCACACCATCAGTTCCCTGCTCTTTTTCCTTTGTCCAAATGGACAACCAAGCATCTGCTCTTACCCCGCCTGACCAATTTGGGCAGTTCTGTTTACTGTTTTATTTCCAGATAAATCACATATATGGAAATGACTTGAATAAAGCCTGTGCCCTAAATTACTATATGTAGCATATACACAAAATTTTATATAATTATATATATATGTAATATTATAATTTCACTTTTACATATGAATTCATTTGATACGCTTTATAATTTCTGTCACTTCCATTTTACAGTTGGAGAAAATGATATTCAAAGAATAACACTTCAAAGAAAAATAGGTTGAAATGGATTATGGAGCCAAAAATAATGTTTATAGTTTTTTTATTCCAACACAAGTCTTTGCCCGAATCTGCTTTTAAAAATAAATATATATTTAAATCTATAAATTTTCCATTAAATTTTAATTACTTTTCCTCAAACACTTTTTAATTGTAGCAGATGAATATGCCTTTCCAGTTATTTCAAAATATTAGATTGATTGGATAATTTCACAGATGAAGTTCACTGAGTTCTTTGTTTTCTTAATTTGTCAATGGAATTTGTTGCTATAAAAATACTTGTATACAGTTTACCTGCTATATTTTCATGAAAATTTAAACAATATTAAGCTATCCAACTTTATGTCAACACTTGGAGAAATGCTTATCAAATATGTTCTAAGTCACATTTTATGTGTTGTTTTTATAGTGTTTATATATTAACTATTTATTCCATTTATAAATTATAATGTTACATTTGTATTGAATTCACATATTATTTTTGTGAATTATAATGATTCAGAATACTCTGTTCAAATTCTTAAGGATTTATTCAAGACCTTTTATACCGAAACTTTTCACTAAACATAGTTTAAGCAACTTGTGTTTCTCAGATCAGTGTTTAAAAATGACCAGATAAGTACATATTTACTTTATAAAATATTAAAAAGACATGGAAATACTTAAAATCACCCATAGTTCCTGCATTCAGATAAAACCTTTATTAAATTTTATTCTTATTCATTATTACTCTGAAATGTCAGTTATTTGCAATACTCTTCATAAATATTAGTGAAAAAATAGGTTTATAAATTAAGGAGTGAAAGATAGAAATAAAAATACAATTTTTGTAAATAAAAATTAGATCACACTATCGATAATGCTTTTTAACTTGTTTTTTTTTCACCTACTACACCCCTAGAAATCACATGTATTCAGTGTTCTGAATACGATTTTCATAGCCACATCATACCCAAGTTTTATAGTTGAGTAAGCCACCTCACTGCAGTTTTATTAAAAGAGACTAACATTTTTGAGTTAGTATGACATACCAGTTGCTGATAACTTCTTCGCTTCAAACTTTTATTGGATCCTTGTAAATTTAAAATGAAGATAATTCAAACGTCTGGACCTACCTTTTCTTGCTTTGGTCTCTTGGTGTCAATGTAGTTTCCTGGAGAGAAACTACAAGTATTTATCATATGCTTTAACTTTATGAGCTCCACAACAACCTCTTTTTCCCAACAGGGATGCTGTGTTCACTCTTCCTTCCCGAGAACACATGTAACCTTCCATATCAAATTGCAAGATTTCGCTACTAAATCACAGTGGCCTTTGGGAATTAGTGTAATTCTCATATGGTGGAACAAGTCATTGTGTAGATATGGAGAGAACTAGAGTTTCATATCAAGTCCAAGAGAAAAAAGGAACATTTTGGTTTGAGAAAGCAATGATAACTTTAGATAAGGTTATTTTCCTGTTGCCTATTAACAAGGAGAGACAATTTAAGGCAGCACTTTCTTTCCTTTCCTTCAGGAAGCAGTGGCTTTTAATTCTTCTCTTCTGAGACCCCGTGTGATTGGAGAATGGATTGGAAGAGAAGAAAATGATGCTGATCCACTAGCTGCTGAAATGCTGCAGCCACCAGTTCCAAGAAGTAAAAATGATCAGTGGGAAAGTGAAGATAGTGGTTCCAGTGCTGCAGGAAGGTGAGAGGAGATGTCTTCCACTACTCCATTTTAGTCATTAACATCTAAGCACAAGAGCTTGGCGAAATCCATGATAGCAGTTTTATGTATAAAATTGATAGACTTCACAGAAGCTAAAGAATAGCTATATTTCACCATTTGACAACATATATAAGTTCCAAATATCATATTGTAGACTGTAAGCACAATTTATATGTCTATTAAAAGCTTAATTCCTGTTTTAGAGTGTTGTTATATGTGCCTTTGGGCTTTTGTTTGATTGTTTTCTCAACACTAGGAAGTTACCATCTTTTTGCTATTAAAACCAGTGAAAAAGTAACTCCAAGGTCATAAACTGTAAGTCAGAACTTACTGTATTATTGGGCAGAAAGTGGCTAGCTGTTAAGAATTACAGAGGGTGGACTTCATATATAGTACAAAGATGTAGTTAGTCATCAAGAAAACTATTAAATGTATTGTGAATGGGCTACATGAGGTAGAGCTTTGTGGAATATAAAGAAAGAAATTTTGATTTAGAACTAATTGAGTTTATAGTGGAGAACTATGCTTGAATATTATTTACTTGGATTTTTTCTTTAATTTTTCAAAGTGTTATGATTTATAAGCTTGAAAGTATACATAACTGATTTCACTCAGCCCTGATGCTTAAAATAGTAACAGACTGGTCTTAACATCCACACACTGTGGAAATGAAGTACAGTAATGTTCAAATGTCCAGATCATATTTATTAGAAAAATTATTTGTATTGTCAATAGCAACTATAATGAATACAACTCAACATAAAAATCAAAAACTTCAGGGAAATTAGGGCAAAAGCATTTTGAGAGTTTTGTCTTAAGATCAGAAAACGGATTTAAATACTTAATTATTTAAAATGTGACAGGAACATAAACTTTCTCTGGCTCTTGTTAGCCAACCATCACTGAAGACATTTCTATCCATGCCACAGATACAGTAAGTTGATATTGCCTATATTAAATTTAGCAGCAACCAATAACTATTTTTTCCTCAAAAAATATTACTGCAATAACTTTCAGAGGTTCTGTCCTTTGACTTCTCTCTTAGCTGGAGGGGAAGACGTTGAGAATATCCATTAGTGTGCTTCAGGCATATATAAAACTGATTCAGTTTCCAAGAGAAATAACTTTTGAATTATTTAAATAGTTGAAGTATCCTGTATGAAGGAGAAGAAACTCATTTTTAAAAATCTGTTATCTTCTTTTGTGAAATGCCAGATCAATTTCACCTGTCAATGAAAGTAATTTTATTTTTAATACCAGACTTATGAAGCCCAGTAGACTTTTATCTTTATTCATTGTTCAATCTTCAGTTGTGAAATATAGAGAAATGTCAACTTTCATTTTGCTTTCATTTAGTCATAATAATAATCAGAGGTATCTATTGCAAATGTTGGTGCTTTCATTTTCTTCTGAGCTTGAATGAGTTTTAGGATAGTCATAAAGGGAATTCTTTCTGCAATGCTAGCTGAATCCTTTTCTCAGACATTTAAGTACACAAAGTTCTTCCCCAAATATAATTCTTGAAATGCTATTTTGTCTTTATTTTTTTCTATGTGTAAGTAATGGGTTGAGAGATTATCTGTTACATGAAAATGTTGTAATGTCCTGCCAAGATGCCCACAATATCAGAAAAATATATGCCTAACTGAATTAAATGTAGAAACAGTTGTTAAACTATGAGTCAGAAATTATATTCCTCCCATATACTAATACAAAACATTCACAAAACAGTAGATTGGGTCTAATACAAATAATTCCTATAACATTAAATTTGATTTGGATAAATTAGAAAGTGTTAGAAAATTTTAATAGCTCTAGAGTCTGTACCTATAGCATTAGCTGTGATCTTTATATAGAATGAACTCATAGTATAATTTAACAGCCTTAAAAATTAAGAGACCAAATGATTTTCTAGAATTTTCAAATAACTGATTGTTAATTTTAATTCTCAAGCCTGAATTTTTCCAATTTCTTTCACCAGTGGGGTTGATACATGGTTATTATTAATAGACATCTTCTAGAAGGCATGGTTGTTATGAGATATCTACTAAGTAAAGCATGTTTATAAGAATATATATGTTAATTTGTTTCATTTATACTGTGAGTTTCTCTTAATTCACTGAAAAGAAAGTTTTGAGCTATTATTTCTTTTTTGTAAGAGAATCTTTTGTCATGTCTTGTACTCCAAATAACTTCTTTGAATATAATGGTCCCGGGTATTAACTGTTGGGATTCTTTTATTATTTTGCTATGAAATTGTTTTATTTTTCATAAAACAAAAAAAATAAATAATTAAGATCCTTAAAATAAAGGATTAATTATATTCTATCATTATTTTTTTTACCTCTTTCTTTAACTCAGTTTTTTCTACTGTGTATTGTTTTAAGTCTTAGCTGATAGATTTTTTACATACTCCATCTTAGGTACATAGCCACATTTACCTCTCATGCAGAATTATACCTATATGATAGACTAGTATACTAAACCTGAGTCTTATAACCATAAATTTACCTGAAACATTTTCATGGAACAGTTTTTTTAAACAACATACCTTATCCGAACTTTTTTCATGGCCAAATCCCCCCTTTACACATCATTGTGTAAAGAGGGTCCATAACTTTGGTATACATAGCTGACACAAGGAGTTAGTTGCTACTAAATGTGGAGAAAATCTAGAGGGCAATATAGAGAAGCCAATGATAAAGGAGAAGAGCTGCTAATAAATCCATAGCCCATAGATGGTCTCTGGAAAGGACTCAAGAGAAACTCAAGAGAACTGTGCAAATCACAGGAAAATGTTGTATATATTATCCATGGACATTTTCCTGCTATATCTTTTTTAGATTCCCAAATAAGTTCAGAATTAGGAGAGCTTAGACAAGGAGATGAAGCATCTTAACCATCACAGGAAGGAGAGAAATGAGGTGTTGGGAAATGACTGAAGACTTTGTGTTTGTCAGAAACCACCTGCTGGCATCAGTTGCTATAGCTTGGTTCGAGAGCTAGTGAGAAAACATGTACGCGCATTGTACATTTAGAGTTATAAACAACACTCACATAATTACAATATAGATGTAAACAATATGAAGTTTAATCAAAATTAAGTTCAATCAAATTATATAAATATAATCTTATTTTAAGCTATCTTGATTAGACTTTGCAATTGCTGTGTAATGTATTTTCTATAATTACTGGTTAAATCTTAAATGTGAACTTGTAAATGGGTTCATCAAGCCATGAAAACCTAATATGACTCCTTTAAAGCTGAACCATCTTATTAAAATAATAATATCCATAAACATTATAGACCTATAATGAATCAGCTTTGCTAACTCAGCATTATTAGGTTGTAAATGTGCCATAAAATTAATAGAAATATTACTTAATTTAGAAAGACATATTAAATATCAAAATACAAGCCTAACTCATTTCCTATTGTTTTCTTTTTCATTAAAGCTCAACTTGTTTCTGACTTGTTAGTGAACAAAATCTGGAAATATTCCCTGTCCATGGAGAAGCAAACAATAAACAATTGAATATGCAAATATGTGCTATAAATTCAAGAAGTTATAGGTGATATGATAGAAATAGAATGAGAAGAAAGAAAATTAACAACTTGGATTACTCTTTTATACATGAGTTCCAATAATAACAATAAAAATACCTAATTTTGTCATATGTTATTACAGTCATAACAGAAAAATGTGTGAAACATACAGCAGAGATAAAGTCAAATTAAGTAGCTTAGGAATACTGTAACATGATCAACTAAGGATCAGAATCCTTAAAAAATCTTAAAAATATACCAAGTTTATATCAACATACCAGGGTTATACCTTATGACAGATTAAAGTCAATAGATATATCATATACTTATTTCAGAATATTTATTTGTAGAATATATTAAAATTCAGATAATTACATGAAGCATAGTACTAGTTATCTATGAACTCCATATCTATTCGACAGTAACAGTTGGGGCTTAACCTACATTCAGGTCTTCTAGGCCTTAGATATATTGATGATCAAACCATCTGTTTTAATCAGAAAAAATAAAATGCATACTTTAAGTCTCATGGAATTGCACTGGTCATTGTAGGCTAAGGAATAGGAATTATGCATTTATAATCTATTATTCGTTAATCATCTTTAACATTCATATATAGACTTTTTTTCTATTTCACTATCAAATTTTTTATTTGCCTGGTTTTTTAATTTATTCTGTTTTGTTTTTTTCTCTTTTGGAGACAAGGTCTTACTATGCAATTAAGGCTGTCCTTGAGCTCACTTTGTAGCCCAGGCTGGTCTCAAACTTACAACAATCCTCCTGCCTCAGCCTCTAAAATTCTGGGATTACAGGAATGTACCACTACACCTGGCTTGCCTAGATTTTTGTTGTTGTTGTTGTTATTGGGGATCAAACTCACAACCTCTCACTTGCCAGGTAGGCACTTACGCCACTGAGCTAAAAATCCTTGGCTTGTCTACATTTTTATAGCTGTCAAGTTAAAAGACATATTATCTACTTAAATTTTAATTTATTTGGTGTGTACGTTTGAAAATAGTGGCTTAAAAAGAAAAATAAATTTGTTATTTATTGAACATTAATGTCAAATAATGTTCTTAAAACTTAGTAAGATCAACATTAAGAAGAAAAATAATCCTTGACCCAAAGCACTGCTTTAAAGTCAGAGAATCCCACCCCTCAAATTCTTATTTCTGCTTCTTGGTGCACACATACTGGATATATAGCAAGCAGTTAATTAGTATCTGCTCAACTGATTTACACATCAATTTATAGTTAGCATCAGATTTAGACATGTTTTTAAAAGAATCTACATAAATATATAAATGCAACAAGTGACTGTAGAACTTTTTCTGACCTCTTTCATTCCCCAAACCTTAGAGCAAAAAGATCTTTTAATTTCTTACTAGAGTCAGAAAATGCAGATTCTGCCTACAAGGCTCTGAGGGCGAAT